GATGTGCCTGCCCGTGCCAGCCGCGGGCCGCCCCTGCCATTTGCCTGTGGGGCCACCTGTGCCAGCGGTGACTGCCATGGTGTACAAAACCTCCCGCTGCCACCGTGGAGCTGTGCCCGGAGCTGTGCGGCTGGCAGCAGCGGTGCAGGGTGGTGGTAGGGATAGATGCGTGCCATCCGGCCACCACCGCACTGCCACTGCCACCCAGTGGCCGGCTGCATAGCTCCAGACATGGCTCCGCAGTGGCATCGGGAGGTTTTGTAGGTAGCAGCCGTCACAGCCTTCCAGGTAAGAGGCAGCAGCTGCCACGTGCAAGCCCTTGCCCCACCCCCCCATCCTTCACTGTGGCTGCAGAGCCCCGGCCACAGAGCTTTGCTCCGGCCACATGCCAGCCTCCCTCTCCCCCTCCCCTGGACAGGTGGCTGGGTGGCATGTGTATGGCCTGCAAATGGCAAGCACCACCACACTGCACCCCACACTGCACCCCGCAAAGTCTCCCTGCAGAGGGGCACCCTTGCCCTCACCCCCTGGCCCTGCTCCCAGCTGCAATGTGCCGCCTGGGGCCGGCAGCACCCCCCACTCCCTCAGCCTCCAACCATCTTCCTCCACCCTGCCTCTCAGCCCCCAAGCCCCACTTACCTCTAGGATCCAGGGGTGAAGGGCATGGCTCTGTGGTGGCAGCGCTTGCCCACAAAGCCCCCCCCAGCCTGCATGCAGCTGCCGCCACCCCGCACCACCGCGGATCTGTGCAGCCAGTTGCGGGGCATTCCGGCATGCAAGCCCCGTTTCACCTCCCGGCCGGAGGGCTGTAGTTGCTACCACACTACTGCTGCTGCATCCTGCGCCACTTGCCCACAAAGCTGTGTAGATGGCCGTGGGATGGTAGCACAGGGTGCAGTGGCAGAGTTGCAGTGGTGGCCTACATGTGCGAACCTCCTGTCAGGCTGGCTGGCATGTGTGTGGCCCACAGAGTGGCATCCCTGCCCTTACCCCTTGGCCCTGCTCCTAGGAATAGGAACAAAGGCACTCCCCCCTTTCTTGATCTATACCCCTAGCACCTTCCCTTCCCCCCAACCTGCCCCACCCCTTCCCCCCACACACACTTACCTGCTGGGGTGGGTGTCAGTGTCTGTGTCTACATGTCTGTGTCTTTGGGTCTGTGGAGCTGTTGTGAGGGGCATCAGGAGGCCTGTTGAGACTGTGGGCGGGGAGTGCGGGGCACCAGCAGCGCTGGGGGGCCGTGGGGGGGCCTTTAATCTTTATCACGGATTTTGGGTTTTTAATCGGAGAATTTGCTATTTTTAATCACAGAAAACCAGAATCCCTGCTAATGACCCTAATTGAAATCAAGATCCCAGGTGCTAGTCACTGTACAAACAGAGGAAGAGCCAGACTCTGTCCCAAAAAGGTTATAATATAGACAAATAAAGTGTGCAAGAAAATTATTTGAGACCTAGAGATTACAAGTTTAATTTGTCAGGGGTATGAAACCTCTGTAGTTCCCATTGGAAGTAATGGAAACTGCATTGTTTAGGGCTTTATTAATGTGCTCAACATCACACAGTAATATGTAATACAGCCAGGAATCTAAGCCAAAATTTCTAAGTCCCGAGCCAGTACCTTAGCCACAGGACTTTCTACCTTCTCTCTTTGGAGTGGGATGAAAGAGGACACAGAGGGCTTAGAAACCTGGATGAAAGCTGCTATGTAAATGTACATTACTCTGGGTGGCCTTTGACCCTAGATTTTCTGGATATTGAGCTTTGTTAAACTAAAGGACACTTTGTACCAGTGCTTCTACCACAGGAATGTTATGCAAATCATCACATTAGCCACTGCGTAAGAGCAAGTGCTTTTGTAAATCCTAATAGGAAAAATGCAAATATCTACACATTACAGAGGGGTGATGTCATAAAATATTCTAAACGCAAAGAACAGAAAATCTGCAAAATGTAAAGTCCCTGACATATGGTGTGGTGACCCTCCAGAGAGGCCTCAGCCCCTCCATGTTACTATGCAGATAATGCTCTGACTTTAGTTAAAACTCTTCATTCACTTTATATCACAAGATATGGGCAATACACACAATACAAAGGCACTTACACAGGACCAAAACAGCCTGCCAGTTACAGAGCCTATGGACAGACATAATGATATGCTGTTTCAAGGAGGAAGGGGAAAGTTACTGGTTGAGAATACATGTCAATTGAACGGATGTAACAGTTTCATCTTTCTGCTCCTATAATAGAGGTATAAGTGGATTAAATGACTGTACCTTTAAACATGAATGGAACAGATTTAAAGCTTCTTCAGTTTAACTCCATTTATACCTCTTTTAATTTTTGTTATTTTCTAGTGCATAAACCAGGTTTTCATGGATTGTAGACTGAAACTTTTGAGTTCCATTCATGTATATCGGGACCTTTTCTAATCCCCACTGCCATGTAATATATGAAATTGCACATGAAAAGAATACAAATATGTAGAAATATTGTTTGTGCCCATGCTAAGTTTTTTGCCTACTCTTGTTCTGCAGTTTGGTCCTTGTCCTAGTCCCAATTCTGACCCACTGTAACTTCCCGTGCCTTTTTCCCGAGCATCATGCTTTGGGTTCTTTAAGAACCTCACCGTGGCTCCTAGGCTGTACAGCCAGGCTACTGGGAGTGGCCTCGGGTCAGATCCCCAGGGGGTCTCGTCTGCCACGTATTTGATAAGAAGTTTCCAATTGGGAGGATGATGTCTGGTCCTGCCCCCCTGGTCCTTTCCCTTGGCTGTCCTCGCGACTGCCTCTTCTTGGGGCTCCACCTCCCCTACACCCTGCCTAACGCCAACTGTGATGTTGCCTGTCAGGGCCGATGTTCAGGCTCTCCCCAGCACTCGGTTCCTTGGGGCTGCAGTTGTTTGCCACTGGTGAAGCTAGTGCCAAGCGCTCTCTGTGGCCCCTCTTTGCTTTTTGGCTTACGTGGAGTCGGGTTCTACCTGGGCTCTCGCCTCCCTTGACGTGTTGTTGACCCCCTGAGTTCAGTACCTGCTGCCAGTCATTCAGGTCAGGGTCCCATCCTCGTTGCGTTTGCCGATGTCCCAGTCACTCTGGCTACTGGCTGTGGTCCACACCGGGTCTGCCAGCGACTCCTTGGGCCCTCACTGGCCCAGCGTTCCCTTCACGCTCCCTTCCCGAGGGAGCCACCAAGCCTCTTCCTCCAGATACTCCGACTGTTCTGACCCCTCTGGGCCAGCCGGGGATGCTCTTTCCAGACCCCCCAGCTTCCTTCCGGTTGGGGCTTTTCTGCCGGCTTCAGCTGCCCGCCCAGGCAGATGTGGGAGCCGTTCCCGGCTCCGCCATGGGTTTTTCCTTTGATCTTTGACCGCGGTGGCTCCAGTCACCCCGGTTTCACTTTTGCCGTGATTGGCTGTTGATGCGGCGTCCCACCACCTCTCTCCTGATTCCAGTAAGTTTTCCTCACACCCACTTTCTCATATGGTCTACTTGGAATCAATGATAGATGACACTAAGTAAAAAAAAAAAAAAAAAAAAAAAAAAGCATCATAAAAAAATAGAACCCTCATCAATTTTGATTGGCAGATTATTTTCTGACACTGTTCCACCTCTTTTATACAAATAAATAAAAATGATATTTCTGTTAATTTTTCCCTAAAATCCTGCTCAGTCTTGCTGTCAGCCATCTTGAGACAGCTGATTCAGATCACAAACACATAACTAGAATCTCATGCTGCCTTTCAACTTTGCTTCCCTCCCCTTCACCGAGTCTTATGTAATACTTGCCTTTTCTAAATAAAAACAGTTCTTGACAAAAGTTACATTAAAAAAATACAATTAATATCTTTCTTGACAACCTTTATATCTGAGGCTGAGCTCAGAAAGCAAAATTAGATCTTTCCCACAAAAAATATCAATCACTCTTAATACAAAACCCAGAAAATGTAAAGTTCCATTTCTATACATGTACCTTTCTTGCTTTGATATGCTGGCCTTTTCAGGGTACATTTCTCATTTTTGAGAAAAGAGCAAGATTTACAGTGGTGAATGTGAAACAGCAAAGTAGCACCACCTAGTGTTTTTGTAAAATAAAATATCAGAACACTTAAGGTATGTTAAAAGTTCAGTTGCTCTGACTGTTTCCAATCAACTAAAACACAGTATATACCATTTTACTCTTTGGGTGATGAGCTCATAACTAATGAAGGGGTTTGTTTTGAAAACTGGGTAAATGTAATATTCATAAGGGACTTTAATGTGACTTAGAGCAGGCCTAAAGGTGTGTGGGGGGAGGGAAAGTGTTGGACAGCAGTCTAGGGATGCACCCAGGTTCCAGAGACAGTAGAAATGGTGATTTCTGGTTACCGCCACATTTGCAATTGTGAACATGGGGCTGCCAGCAGCAGCTTTTTTTTTTTTTTACACCCCAGTTCCCCAAGTCAGCACCTGGGGTGGTTACCCCTATCATGGTCCCCCTGCCCCCCCCACCCCATTCCCCAGTTGCACCACTGGAATAAGAACTAGAGCATGATGTGCTTTGTTTATCCCCAGCCACAGTAATGGTCCCTAGGAGACCATTCTAATAAGGGTAAGTAAAACAACTTGCAACTTCTTTGGTTCCTGCTGTAAATAGGGCATAGTGAAATTTTTGCTTCCTGCTCTCCACAAAATGGTGCTGTCTGGGTCACAATCATCCGCCCACACAAATTGAAACACTGTAGCACTATAGAGAAGTGCATTGACAGATGGCAAAGGCTCCTGTAACAATTATCTTGGCAAATGTCTTTGGCAAAAAATTATCTTTGGCAGTAACATGTAGAATGAAACTATTCATTAGACAAGGGATTCTCAGCCAGGGTGCCACAACCTGTTGACACACATAGGTGTGTAAACATGATTTACAAGATAAACCCAGAGATATAAACATTCTGACCTGTTGTGGTCTTTCTGGCCACATCCAGACAAGTGTTGACGTGCAGTATGTGGCTGCGGGGCCACAAACTGCACACACAGGCACTTCCCACGCTGCTATGTTGCGGGGGGTTGACTCCAGGAGATCCTGAGAGACATGAGTAAAAAGTAAAAGCTGGCATTTTCAAAGGTGTTTTCAAGTCTAAAAAAGGTTGAGAACTACTGTGTTAGACACCCTGAAATCAATAGAGCTAGTTTAGCCCCGTGCTGCAGTATTGCGATCTGGACCCAAACTTTGATACTGTGAGTTGTGGCTGTCCTGCTCTGAAAACCAGAAGCAGCAAGTTTTTTAAAATAATTTCTGAGAATGTCCAGGTTTCAATGGAATTCATACTGAATTCCAGTAGCTCAGAATATGTAAGACAAGAATTGAAGGCTCACTTTCAGTTTTCCAACATACATGCAGCAATGGGCACTTGAATCATTCTAACTTTGGAGCTATGATCTCACTTTTACCAGGTGTAAAATAATGGTAGACTGTATTTACCAGAGTTTCGTGTACTTGTGTAAACATGAAAGCATGAGCCATAGGATATGCACTGACTATTCTCCTTGTACTTTTGTATTTAATAGCATGCTCTAGATCAGAGGTCATCAACTTCTGGTCCGTGGAGCCATTGCATTTGGCTCCCCATGGGTCAGGAAATTGGTAGTGATTAATATAGCCATCCTCCCCACTGCCAAATTTCCAAACCCCAAGCCATGCTGGGCTGGTCACTGGGGTCAGGCTATGCCCTACTCCCCCTCCCTCCTTGAACAACTGGATCAGGGCTGGGCCATGTCCTTTCCCACCCCACAACTGGATCAGGCCCAGGCCACACCCCAACCCCACCATGGGGCTGGGTTGGGGTTAGGCCATCCTCCCTTCCACCCCATGAGGCTGGGTCAAGTACCCTTCCCTTGTAGGGCAGGTTGGGGCAAGGCTACCTCCTGCCCCCCTCCATGCAGCTGGATGGAGCCTGCCACCCCCATCCTGGGCACCAGACCAAACCACTGGCTGGATTCAGTGGTTCTAAGCTTTTTAGATCCAAAGCACCCCTTGAAAAATGCCAGCTTAGTTTTCCTTGTTTCTTAACTACATAAAAATACAGAGCAAACAATTCAAAAAGATCAGAACTGGTTAAAATGTTTTTAACACTATCGATTTCAATTTGAAAACTCTGGGTTAATCTTGTGAATGCTTGGCAACCCGTGGCACCCTTGAGGGATCTCAAGGCAACCCAAGGTACCTCTCTTGCATCTGTTTTCTAGAGCTGAAAATTTAAAAGCAAAAGCATATGTACTGAATATGACCTCCCTGGAAAATATTTAGTGTATAATAAAATACTGTCGTGATACTGAAGTATGTTGCCATTACTTATTAGTCTACATCTGGCTTACATTTGTAGAAAAAGGACATAGATTAAATAAGGAACTTATCTGCCTAAGAAGGGGAACTTTCCGTTTCTGTGAATTAATTGTAAACACTGTGTGTTGAAGTTCTCCTGGTATGTGTTGTAAGTGAGGAAGCTGTACAACAAGAAAGAAAGAAGAGAAGTATTACAGCAAGTCTTGAGGGCCTAGGATCTGATTCTGTGAGTTAGCTTAGAGGCATACATACGTCTGTTGATGCCAAGAGGAGCTGAGGGTGCTCATCACTTCATGGCTTGGGACAGAAATTACACACATACACCTGGTATACATGATCAGAAGCTGGTTCAGATCTAACACAACAGAAGTTCAGTGCACATAAACCACTTCCAAAATGGCCAAACCGGTTTAAGATAAACCTGGATGGATGTCATATCAGACTTCACTGATTTAGGTTAAATCAGTTTATTGAACTTCTGTCCCAGATCTCCTCCAGATTCAAGTTAACTCACAGTCCCCCAGCATCCTGGGATGGTTTGTACCCCTCCTGCAAACTCCCCCATGTAGGATGGGCAGGCTAGCCTTGACCCAAGCAGGGGGGCATGCTCTAATGCCCCCCAGTTTCTGGCCTAGCCCACTGCAGGCATGTGGCTGCATTTCCGTAATCAAAAGGGAATGAATGCCTGTTCACTTGCTTGTCAATTCCATCTACATAGCTTAGACTAACCTGTGAAGATTGAATCAATTCAGCCTTGGGCTTTTTGACTGACTGTACTTTTGCTTATTAAGCCAAAGATCAGACTTAGAAGTCACCTACGTACCCATGTGACCTGGCCTCCATCCCCTTCCTTTCTCTTTCCTCTCTTTTCTCCTCTCTCCCTCCCTGTTCCTTTCCCTTTTCTTTTCTCTCTTCTTCACTCCGCCTCTCCCCTGCCCTCCCTGCTGGATGTGGCCGTCTTCACCCGCAAAGGACGAATAATACTTAGCCTATAGGGTTAGGGCCATTGCTGATGTTAATAAAAATAAAAAGACAAGCTCTGTGAGATTTAAGCATATCTGAATCAATGAGATAAGAAAAGGGTAATCTGAGACTTCTATAGAAACCCTAAAAACTGGGAGGCAGAAAGTGTGATATGTTTGATAGATGATTCCTTACAAGGAAGGGCAAGATCCTGTGAAATGCTGAGTGCTTTATATGTTATACTTTTATTAGACTCTTTGGGGAAGAAAATATTAAACAGTATGTGTTGAAGAAATTACATTTACCTTTTTGTTAAGCAAATCAGCTTTCTTTCCTCTCATGTCTATTAACAAAGCTTCAGCATATTGTGAAGCCTTGCTAACCGTCATAAGATACGCATCCCCCCCATCAGTCTATTCTAAATGGTGTCTAGATATACATGTGGTTAAGCAGAAATATACATCTAATGTCAGTTTTGAGAATTCCAGAATTTCAGTCTTCGGTGACTTTCACTTCATTTTAGAACTGGTCAGGAAGTTACTTTCTCGCTGTTTTGATTTCAGTAGCTGATTTACCCAACTTTCCCTATTAACAGAGCATTAGTTATTTGTTTACTCAGTACTGTTTTCTTATCAGATGATGCCACATGAAGATTTGAATTAGTGTCCTAGCCCTCCCTCTGCACATTAACCTGGGATCTAGAATCAGAAGCACTGACTGACTATTTATTGATAGAAACTACAAAAAAATAGGGTTGTCCATCACAGGGATGAAAAGGACTTCCTGGGAAAGAGCCAGTTGTGCTTTTGTAAACTGTAGTTATGTCTAGCTAATATAGTTGTGTTCTTTGGGAGCAACAACACACAAGCAGATCAGGGTATCTGACTGACACGGTGCATCTGGACTTTCAAAAAGCTTTTGATAAAAGTCCTGCATCAAAAGCTCTTATGGAATGAGGTTGTAAAGGTATGTGCACACCAGATCAGCAACTGGCTAAAGAACAGAAAGCAAAGAATAGGTATAGATGGTCACTAATCACAATGGAGGAAGGTAAGCATTAGGGTCCCCCAAAGGTCCTTTCTGAAGCTTGTGCTGTTTAACATTTATAACTGATTTCAAAAGAGGGCTGACTGATGATGCAGCAAAGTTTGCAAATAGCACCAAATTATTCAGCATGGTAAAAAACAAAGCTGACTGAGGAATTGCAGAAGCATCTCAGAAAATGGAGTGAATGGGTCACAAAGTAGCAGCTGAAGATCAACACTGATAAATATAAAGTTGATGTGCATAAGAAAAAATAACCTGAGATGCACGTACACTATGTTGGGCTCTATATTGGCTATTACTATTCAAGAAAGAGATCTTTGGATTATTGTGGAAAGTTCTCTGGCAGCATTGACTTTGTGTTCATCAGCTATCACAATGACAAATAGGATGTAAGAAATTAAGAAATATATATATATATAAAAAGTCATTATGCCATTGTATGAACCAGGGCTGTCTAACTGGTGACCTCTAGGCCACCTGCAGCATAGAAGTGGTTAGTGTACAGCCTCCCCAGGTTCCCACTTGGCTACCACTGCCTCTGTTGCTCTGACTGCAGCAGCATTAGGGGTCTCAGGGCTCCTTCCCCATCCCTCAGCTTGTTTCATGCCCACCCCAGGGGGTGGGGCAATGTGGTACAGTGCTGCCTATAGTGCTAGGGGAGCTGGTAGCCCAGAATGCCCATGTAGCATAATGCCACTGGGGTACCCAGAGGGAACTGAAAGTAAGATGGGGTGCCATGCTGCAGAGGGGCACAGGTGGGGGCAGCAGCAAGGGGCACAACCCTGCACTGCTGCCCATGCTGCTCCCGTGCACACAGGGGAAGCGTGGCAGGGCAGCAGGGAGCTCGGAGCAGGCAGCTTTCTGCGCCCCCCGCTGTGCCCTGCCCCGCTCCGCTGGGTTCCAATGCTGCTTTGCAGAAGCGGCGAGGGCAGCACAGTGGGGAGTATTGCCAGTATGTGCTGCCTCCCCGGAGCCGGGTCTGGGCCTGGGAGGCTGCTGGGGCGGGGGCGGAGAGGCAGCAGATGTTTGCAGCTGGCCCAGGTTCTGGGTAGCTGCTGACAGCCACAGAGCCTGGGCTGTGGGGCAGGGGCTTTGGGTGGGGGGCAAGGGGCAGGGCCTTTGGCTGGGGGGCACAGGGTAGCAGGGCTGGGGGGCAAGGGGCACAAGCAGGGCATCCTGCCATGTATCCCCTGCCCTCATTTTGTTTTTGCCGCACTCCAGCACCTTCCAAGGTAGGCAGTGTGGGGGGTTTTGGCACTCTGGCCAAAAAATGTTGCCTACCCCTGTTGTAGAGGCTGATAATTTAACCAGGTTTAAAAGAGAACTACAGAAATTCATGCAGGTTAAGTCCATAAGTGGGTCTGAAACACTGTAGTTAGGGGAACCAGGTAATCAGGACTTCCTAGGCCTCTAAATGCTGAAAGCTGTAGGGGAAGAAGAGCAGGGGACAGATCAATCTGGATAGGCCCTGCACACACACACTCTACCCCATAGCATCCGCTCTCCATTGTGAGATACAGGACACTGGGCTAAGTGGACCTGTGATCTGACTCTGAGGCAAGTGTCTTATGTTTTTATTCAGTGCCAAGACTATCCGACTATCTGATTATCTGATCAGACACATTACTTCTTATTAAGAGACTGAACATGGGATTTAGAGATGCAAACAAGCCAAGAAGCTATGGTGCGTGTCAGATTCCCACAGGCCAAATTCTGAAGGTAAAGAGATGTAAATCAGGGACAAACTTATCTGAGTGAGTCAAGTACACCCTTACCATGATTTCTTCCAAGACAGCATCAAGACCACAGCAAAATTTGGCCCTAATAATTTTAGGGGTAATTTGAGGCATAAATGATGTGTGCCCCCGCCCCCCATGGCTGGGGGGGTGGGCACGGCAGCACTGGTGGTGGTGGTGGGAGTGCAGCAGCAGTGGTAAGCGGGGAGCTCCTGCAGACACGCCAGTGCTGGCAGCAGCAGGGCGGGAGGGTGAGCGCCAGCCAGGGGTTGGCATCCACCTGCAGATGCTGCCGGCAATCACTGATCCCCTGCAAACACTGCCAGCCGTGCTGGTGACAAAGTGGGGCAGGGGTGGTGAGCACAGACTACCCGCAGGCACTGCCGATGTGCACCTGCCCCCCCTACACGTCGCCAATGATTTGAGGGCCCTCCCTTTGTCGTGGCTGAAACAAGAGCAAAACTCCCGAAACTCACTTAACGTGAATTTGCCCGTTTGGGCTGCTTGGTCTATACAAGTGTGGGGAAGTGACTTTTGCTACCTACACAGACTCTTCTACAGCTGCTCCCAGAGCACGAGGCATTTAAGGAAACTAAATGTACGTGATGCTTTGCATACCGAGCAGGCGACTCTGTGGAGTTGCTCCCGGCTCTCCCAAGAGCTGTCCGCTGGAGGGACAAGGCGGTTTCTGATAAGAGCGCGGGGTCCCGCGACACGCGGGGCGGGCCTGGGCTGTCGCCGCCTCCTCCTGAGCGCCGTGCGGGCCGGGAGCTCCCGCCCCCTCCTCCGTCCCCTCCCCGCGGCGCGAGGGCAGAGGCCGCGGACTACGAGTCCCGAGAGGCGGCGGCGGCGCTGGAGCGGGGATGCCGGCGGCGG